CCTTAATCGCATAGCTCGCACAATAAAGAATTGAAGAATTAAAGAATGCAATAAGCTTAGTAAGCTCCGCCAATAGTACTGTGTGATGTGTGTAACTGTGTATATGGAATAACGTATCTACTTTTTTATATTTTGAGTTCGAATACCGCAACTGTTAGCGGAGCTTATTGGATTCTTGTTTGTCCTAAACCCTGAATAAGTTTAATACAGCCGGTTGTTTGTCCTAACCCCCAAATAACTACTCAACAACTTTGCTCTCCTAACAAACAAAAAAAATTCACTTTGCTAATTACGAAGAACTATACAAAATGTGGTGGATGTTAATGCAACAATAGTCGCAACACCAGTTACGCAAAACCCACAGCAAAAACCAATATACCGATTTCTCTTCCTAATTGCACCATAAGCAAGGTCGGCCTTGAGATCTTGGGGGCCTTAGGCGAGCCCCTAAAAGAGGCTCTTGAGATTCTAAATCCTCCAATGTGTCACATATTCATATAAATAAAAAAGAAAAAAGCGTCTAAGATATCGAGTACAATAGGAGTCCCGAGTCAAATTAAACGGTTGGATAAGCACAAGTTGGCCATAACAAACAAATAAAACACCAAACAAAACTTATAATAAACACAGAAACCTATAATTGCATCAAAACATCGCACAATCAAGTTTCCTTCCTACCCTTTTCAATAGATAACGTAACTAAGTTACTCAATCTCTATCGAAGACAGTACACTACTGATCAACTTCAAATTTAAAAAAAAAAAAAAATCATAGTACGAGGATTAATTACCTCAAATCAATCTTCTAAACTGTATGAGATAGTTAGTTTGCAAATCTATTGAAATAGTGATATGGAGATGGAGTTCTAGGGAAATGCTCAAAGAAATACAAAACCCTAGGCCCTTGGATCGACTAAACGGATTGAAAAAAAAAAAAAATGAAAAGAGAGAGATGTGTTTGGTGAGATCAAACTCATGCCCATCAAACAACGTAGTTTCTAATTCAAAAACACGGTAACAATCCAATTTTAACAAAATGCTTAATTTTTTATTATTACAAACCTAACAGATAAGATAAAAGAATTTTCGGAAACCTTTTCAGGAGAGAGAAAAACTTATGTGGGGCTTAACTTGTCATTGGATTTTGCTGAGAGACACTACAATCCTCTCAAAACTCGCTACGTGGCAAATCTTAAATATACTATTTTTTTATTCTCTTATATTTAACATTCAAATAATTATATTTTTTTACTAATTAATATACACCATGAGATCAAATCTAATGGTTCATTTTTTTTTCTTTTTTTTCTTTTTTCTCTCTCTCATTTTTCTTCCCATTTTTTCTCTGCCGTCTTCTTCCACAAATTTTCTGCAATCTTCTTCCCTCTTCTTTCTCTAAATACAAATATGCAGACTATTATCGAGTTGATTTTTTCGCAATCTATTTGTATACGTAACTCTTGGAGTAGATTTCAGAATTTTACAGAGAATAACCTATCTAAACTAAAAGCAGGACATCACTCACTACGAAAGTTATCTAGCTTATTACGCCATATAATAAGCTTAGAAAACCACTTAGCAGAAACCTATCATTTGAAAAAAAAAAATCAAAGATTAGACTAATATATTAATAAAATACTCATAATAAAGAAGGTAGATGTGTCAGGATACCATAATTTTTATTATAAAATATAAAGAAACCAAATGCCCTCACTTTAACCCATAACCCCCAATTATAAGAAAGAAAGAAAGAATTAACTCTAATATGTGATCAGATAAACTATTGATAAAGAATAAAAAAAACCTTAGAGATTTTTGGTTGCTTCCCATGATAAGAGTTGGATAAGGTTTTTTTTTTTGGGGTGCATAAATTTTTTTTTTTTTTTTTTTTTTGAACAAAAGCAAGAAGCAGAATCGGGAAAGAGAAGAAAGTGAAGAGTCCTACGGCAAAATATAAGGGAAAATTTGGGAAGAAAAAAATGCACCATTAGATTGATCTATGTATATTAATTAGTAGAAAACTAATTATGAGAATGTTAAATATAAAAGAATGGTAAAATATTATATCTAAGACTTGCCATTTGGTGAGTTTTGAGTGGATTGTAGTGTCACTCAGCAAAATCCAATGGAAAGCCAAACCCCACACAAGTGGTGGCCTCCTCTTCCGGCTACCCTCAAGGCTGGTCCTGGAGCATACGATGCCCTAAATGAAACCTAAAGCCCGTCCAAAATGAATGCTTGTTTAGCCAAACTTAGTAAATTTTTTTCTAGTAGAGCGATAGCCTTAATGGGGTGGACAGTTAGTTTTTATGGGGAGAGGAATTGGTGGGGATTGAACGCACCAGGATGTAAAGACATGATTGTTTTCTACCTTTACAACAAAGTGCCATCAATAATTTTTAAGCAATGCATAAGTGAACTTCCTACTTAAACTACAAGTCTCATTTGCAATCCAATATTTTTAAATTCTAAAATGTTTTTGAACACTCTTGTGAGAATTGTTAATGTCAATTCAATATTTCAGCTTGTATTCCTTGGCACTCTCTACAGTCGACCGTCGCGCGTCGATCTTAGAGGTATGTCAAGATCGGGGCCTGACATGGTGCCCACAAATAGCCTTCCAAAAAAATAGCCTGTTAGGGCACCTTTTTTGTGTGTTTGGGCAATTAAGCAGCCCTTGCTTCTGCCTTTTAGGAACCGGTGGACTTGCTCTAATGTGCATGTTGGTTGGTTGGTGCCTATTCTATTAATGTATTTGGACATTCTCACTTTATCAAATTTCATGTGTCATTTTGTATATAAAAATAATACTTTTTGGGAATTGTTATTAGCACTCAAAAAATCTCATTCTACACTCCTTACAAATGTATTTTTCTTTTTAATTATAGAAAATTTGGAGTACCAAATGAGATTGTTGGAGTGCTAATAACAATTCCCTACTTTTTAATGCTTTTGGCTGGAGATTAAAGATGAAAAGCAAAAAAATAATTTCAAAGGCATTCAATGTCTTGTATTTTGTGCAAAAAAAAAATAATACATGACAATTGATGAAGTGAGATCGTCGAAATGCAAAGATTAGTGCAAAATTCTCTAGATTTCCATCCTTGGATTGGAGCACAATTTTTCAATTTTAAAAGGCAAAGTGAGACCCGAGTTTTTTTTTTTTGGGGGGGGGGGGGGGTGGATGGGGGTGGGCCGTGGGGGTGTGTTGTTGAGCAAATGAACAGTTAAGCTTAGGCTACAGGGCAAGATTGTACCTTATCACCTCGGAATAAAAATAGAATAATAAACAAAAGATAGAGAACAGTGCGTCAGCCACGACTATTTTGAGATCAGATTCAGGTTTGGAAGGGAAGAATGGAGAAGCTTATATCAAGAAGGTACAAAGAAAGACCTATGCCTGAGGGTTACATATTCCCACCCGATGTAAGACCCGGAAAGCTTACTGTCGTTCCTCTATGCAACAACACCATTCCAGTCATTGATTTGGGTTTGGATGGTGAAGGAGCAGCACAAGATTGTGATATAGTTGACCAAATACTTGAGGCCAGCCAAGAATTTGGATTTTTTCAGGTCATTCAAATTCTTCAATCTGTAATTCTGTATGTAGCTTGTAAGTTATTAGTACTAGTGTATATCAAATTCTAAATGAATAATTTTTCATTTTGTATATGAAGAAGAGCAGGTAATTAAACATGGGATGTCAGAAAATTTGTTGAAGGAGACGGTGGGATTGTTGAAAGAGTTGTTCCAAGAGTTGCCTGATGAGGACATTGCAAGCCTCTACTCCGACGACCCCAACAAAAGCTGCAGGCTCTTCACCAGCACCAGCGGTGGAAATTTTGATGCGGAACCTGTTCATTTTTGGCGTGACAGCCTCAAACACCCTTGTCATCCTCTTTCAGAGGAATGCTACCAACTTTGGCCTAAAAAACCAACTAGATATCGGTAAGTCCAAGCTTAAATAATGTACATATGATGTATTTTCAGACAGAAAGCTAGTATTTAGTCAAAAGGGTTTATTGATGAGATTTGAATTCAGAGATGTTGTCGGGGAATGTTCGACACAAGTGAGGGAACTGGCTTGGAAGATCTTGGAGCTAATGAGTCAAGGACTTGGGCTGGGACCTGGGTATTTCAGGGGTGAAGTAAGCCAAGAAATGTTACTGTCAGCAAATTATTACCCACCTTGCCCGGAACCAAGTTTAACACTAGGATTACCTAAACACGGTGATCCAAATCTTTTAACCATTTTACTCCAAGGGGATGATCATGTCAGTGGTCTGCAAGTTCTCAAGGATGGGGAATGGATTTCTGTTGTTCCTTTTCCACATGCGCTTGTGGTTAATGTCGGTTATCAATTACAGGTACAGCCTCCCTCTCTACCATTATCTTCCTCACCGATCGCCTTCTTTTGGTTTGCCATGCATGACCATTGACAAATTATACACGGTTGCAAAATTGTTGCGGGGATATTGTAGGTTATCAGCAATGGCAAGTTGAAAAGTTCTGAACACCGGGTAGTGACGAATTCAAGTGCTGCTCGGATTTCAGCTGGGTTTTTCGTTATGCCTTCCCATGATTGCCTTATAGAACCTGCTGCAACTCTTATCAATGCAAGCAATCCCCAACTTTACAAAGGCTTCCCATACAAAGACTTCTTTCTCAACTTTGGTAAAACGCTGGGAAAAACCGAACAAGTACTGGATCGCTTTAAGCTTCAGGGTTAGCTAGCTCAATGCAACTTGAAACGGGATATTCAAAAGTTTCGCTTTAAGCACTGCTCATTTGATCAAATGTCGTTTTTGCGTCATTATTGCTCTCTGACGAAGCAAAAACTTACAAAGGTCTCCGACTACAGTTGGAGTTTATTTTGGGTCATTTTATTGATAAGTGCCATCTCTGTGAAGAACTGAGAATCGAGTTCAAGTGAAATTTGCTTAGTTGTGTGAATCATGTGTATCCGATGAATCTTGAATACATATGTGATGAGTACCGCAGTATATGGAAATTTGTTTATTTTCATGTATATATGCATTCTAGTCTGCAACTTCATCTGCATCTGCAAGTCGTACAAACTTCTTCAGAGCGTTTAACACTGATACAAAGAAATCCGATTATTAATATTTATTCACAGGCACAGGCACAGGCACAGACCACATATTATATGTACAGAGAGCAAAAAATGTCAGTCTTCCGATGACCCTCGGTCACACTCTTGTGCTCTTGACCAACAGCATTGTCATGATTCACGGAACCCAGTTCGTTCTTCAAAGTTCTCCTGCCCAACCACAACTTGCTTTAATGTTCATGTCTGCCTCCTCACCTTCATCCCCTCGATAATAAACCTTATAATTTTGCAAAGAAACAATTAAGCCATATTCCATCACTCAAGTTTTAATTTAAACAGGATGTGACAAAACCAAGTCACCACACAACGTTTAGAATCATGTGTCTATTTGCACAGAAATCAGAAATCAAACACGATAATAAAATGTTCATCAAAACCATAAAACAATAACATCATATGGTGCTGAATAAATGGTACCTTTCTGAATTCTGATGGTAGTGGATCCCAGTAGACACCATCATAATTCATATGATGCTGCGAACCTTGCTGGGTCCACGGTGGCAGGCATATTGAATCCAAGCAGGGATGCGATCAACCCAAACTCCATCTCCATGCTTGCATTGTGAGGAATGGCTGAACTTCCACCAGAATACAAAACCCAAATTGGTTCTTCTCCATCTTGTGTTTGGAGCCACCCCATCCATTAAAGCTCATTCACGGTACACAATGTCCGTCTTCTTCTCTGTTAAATCCAAATTTCAAATAAGCTAGAGATCCCATCCATTAAAGCTCATTCACGGTATACAATGTCCACCTTCTTCTCTGTTAAATCCAAATTTCAAATGACCTAGAGATGAAGCAAACAGGTGTTAAGGGAAAACAGATTCCAACGCTTTCCATGTCTCCTCGGTGTCTGTTGTTATTAAAAGTATGCTCCGCCTGAGAAAGAAAGCGCGGATTTTAACTAGTTTATTAGTGAAAGTCGATGGTAGTGGGGAAATTGAATGAAATGAAGAAGAATGTGAAATCACGGTTAGCATCCCCTTCCCCAGTTCCCCTTGTTGGAACGTGAAACTAGTATTCAAGCAAGATGAAGCAAGGTAGAGCATAGTAACAAAGTATTACATGCCGAAGGCAGAAGCCAGCAGCAGCCAGCCCAGATTCATTTGTAATGCTTCTGTTAATGCCTCCTAATTCAATCGGTGAAACCCTAAAACCCTCAACCTTTTGAAAAATTCGGAAAGCCAAAATTTAAATCAGACATAAAATTCTAGCCAACTATTACAAATTATTTTAATTCTAACCAAAATTGATATGAAAATACTGCAATACCCTTTCTTAACTAAAATATTTGCAAACCTACAACTTTTTAGTGTCATTCCAAATTAATCTCAATATTTCCAAAACATTCTAAATAAGTTTCAAACCTATTAAAAATGTCATATCCATTAAGCCCAATTAATTTTTCAAACATAGATTATATTCAAAACTCATCAATTGGGTATATCATGAACAATATTAATATTAGTTGCCTCAAAATCTAAATTTCAAACATAGATTATTTTTATATAATATGAAACCCAATGATCAAACATGTATTGAATTGAATAAAAAATGGATCCAAATTGAAATTACATTAGGAGGGCAATCTCTTAACAAAAAAAAAAAAAAAGGGTTAAGAATTCAGCTAGGGCTTGAAGGAGTTTTTTTTTTTATGTTCATGTGATTCCTTATTTGTTGATACTCGACTCGTAAAACTTCCAGTTATTTTTGTGGGTGGTGAAGATGATGGTGGCAACATCATGACAGTTCATACCATTTCAGTAACCTATGACCTTCTTCTTGATGTTGGCTGCTTGAGTTGCAGGGTGAAGTTGGTGGTTTTGCGTAGGGTTTGGAGGTGATGGCATGAATGAGGTTGGTGGATGCTATGCTTTTATGACTTCTATTGATAAGCGTAGTTAATTTAACAGATTTTTAACTGAGGCTTAACAGATGTGACATTTTCATAGGTTGGGTACTTGTTTGGAATGTTTAAAAAGATTTAAACCAATTTAGAATGACACTAAAAGATTAAAAGGGATTAGGTACTTAATCATTTTCGTTTCTTCTGAAAAGAGAGTATTGGGCCTCTGGCCCAACAACATCCTCAGCAGTCAGGCCCAAAAACAAATGAAAGTTTTACACTAACGACATGTCGTGTGCAACCGACGCAATGTGTGCGAATGCGCAACTATAAATTAGGGGAAGAGAGGGAGGGGAGACGGTTCGTTTTAGGGTTTTGCGGAGCAGAACGGAGCGAAAAGAAGACCAACTGTCAGTAAGTGAATCATGAGCAGAAGTTTGGGAATTCCGGTGAAGCTTCTTCACGAGGCGTCAGGGCACGTGGTGACGGTGGAGCTCAAGAGCGGTGAGCTTTACAGAGGAAGCATGGTTGAGTGCGAGGACAACTGGAACTGTCAGCTCGAGAACATCACCTACACCGCCAAGGTACTCCAGCCTGTCTCATCCTTCGTTTCTTCTTCGTATATAGTTTGCTGTTATTTTTGCTTTCTTTGAACGCCTGCGATCTCTGCTGTCATCTTTTAAATTAAAACCCTAGATTTCATGCGCTTGCACTGACACTGCACCTCTCTCTTACTGAATCTGACGGACCAATTACAAGACAATGTTCTCAAAAAAAAAAAAAAAAAAACCCTGAGCTTTTAGAAGTAGAGTAGGCTTAAAAGCCGATGAAAAAGTTGGATTGAAAGGTGAAGGAATTGGAATTCTGCACTCTATTAGGCATATTTCCCTAGATGGGGCTGAGTGATTATTTCCATATTTTAGGATCGGAAAAGGGGGAGAGGGAGAGGGAGAGGGTCAAGAATCTTAGGCACTTAATGCGTTTCATTTTTTCTTGCTAAAAAATTGCCAACTTAATCTTATACGTCCTGATGGTCAATTTTGAAAAGAAGAGAAACGGAAATTAGTTTAGAAATATCCGATGTTGGATGTTACTTAGTCGCTCTTATTTTCAAAGCTTGAACAATTTGTTTCATTTAGTTTTTGACATTGGTACACTCATCTACAGGACGGAAAAGTTTCACAGCTTGAGCACGTATTCATCCGAGGGAGCAAAGTAAGGTATGTAATGACGGATCCTTTTTGTATGACAGCACCCATACATAATTTGGTCAAGTTGTGTTTCTTTGCTACTCCCAATGATTGTTCCACTGATATTGATTTGAAATTTTAATAGGTTTATGGTCATACCTGACATGCTGAAGAATGCTCCAATGTTCAAGCGCCTGGATGCTAGAATCAAGGTATCATTCGATGTCTAAATGATCATTGAGTTATCGATAGTGATGAATTTTGTTTTTTACTGACATTTTGATTTCTGAATCTGGAAGGGCAAGGGTGCTTCACTAGGAGTTGGCAGAGGTAGAGCTGTTTCAATGCGGGCTAAGGTAAGCTCTTCTAATTTTTACTGAATCTTAATAATTGAAAGCTTGATGCCTTCCATTTAAACATTCATGTGTGAGAAAAATGTGGCGACAACACAGAAGACTGCATTGTGAGAAATAGAGGGTTCCTTGATTTAGTCCTTTCTTCTAGCACCTTAGCTTAGGCATAGGGATACAAAACTCTGAAAATATGGCTTGAACAACTCTTTTATAGAAATAGAAAAGGAGAAATGGATTCAGCTTTGAATAAATATATTTTCCTGTGCAGGCTCAAGCTGCTGGCCGTGGGACAGCTGGTAGGGGGGTTGTACCACCTGTTCGGAGGTAATCAGTTGGACATAATCAGCCCTTCATGCGATCCTTCAGCATCCTCGTTGTAAAAGAATAGACTTTGTTTGGGCGATGAGGAGAAATCAGAAATTGCGTATCTTGACAGGCTGTTGTCGTTTTGTATGCATGTTATGTTTTGGATGCTACATCTTTTGACCTTACATTTACTCGATTTTCTTGTAGTTGATATTGTTGATGTAATAGCTTCGTTTCAATCTAAATCTTCAGAGTTAGTAGCCTTCGTTCTGTTTATTTTCTCATAAGTTAAAAAGGAGAGAAGGAAAACCCTGTGGCATATTTTTTTCATTAACTAACCTTTCCCGTGAGCCTGTGGTAATAGTCGTTGCTGCTAGAATGACAGGCTCAAAACCAGATGAACAAGACAAGTATCCCCATCATGGTGAACCAGAATCAACTGAAAGAATTAAGGCCTTTTCCTCCCTTGCCGTTTATATTTCAACAGTTAAACTAATACACGTATGGATAATGGATAGACATGAAATAAATTAAATTTCGACGAAGAAGTTTACAGAAATTGAGGAAAAGCCAACACATAATGTAAAAAAATTAGTGGAAGTAACCATATGGTCTAAAACAGTCTGCTTCCGCGTCCACTAAACTTGATACTAGTAAAATTCTTGTGTATGACTTCTTCCACTAGAACCCCAACCCTGCACATAATATGCACGCGATATGTATCGATGTCTCTATAATTCGTTTTTAAAATCTCTTCTTTTGTTTTCAGAAGTCCGAAACCACAAGTCACTTCCCCATTCTTTTATTCTAGTCACGCAAGTGATATTACGTAAAACTGACAAAGTAGACACGATATGAATCATTATAGATGAATTAAACTATGTTGTAAAATATGAATTAAATTATTTTTCCCCAAGGTTTCTTTGAGCCCAATGGTTGGAGATGGTTTTGGGAGAGGGGCGGTTAAAGCTTATATTTTAAGTTTTATTCAAAGAGTTGGAGATGGTCTTAAGAGTAATGTTATACTTATCACATTTTTCATACCACACTTATACTACTTCTCTAATAGAAGTAGAGTCCACCAACACAAATGGATCCCATCTCTATTAAAGAGGTTGTGCAGATGTGATAAAAGTAACATTTTTTGTTTCCTAATTGTGACTTATGTCTGTGTTGGGGAGAGAGGGGAGAGAGAGAGAGAGAGAGAGAGAGAGAGAGAGAGAGGGGGTAATACTAATGCTAATGCTATGCGAGTAGTCGTAGTAATACTAGCGGATCGTGGCAATTGGCAATTTACCGCAAAGGGAAGCCCAAAAGTAGGTTGGTTGGAAACTAACCGACTTTCAAATAGCATTCTATTTTAGGCTCTATGCATTTCCAAATTTAAAAAGCCACGAATCCGAAAAGCCGCAAAAAGCTTCTGACAGGCACCAAGAACGAACACACAGAGCACCTGCAAATGGAATCCATGGGCATTAAGGTTAGGGTTTCGTTATCTTCAACCCGGATTCCAGCGGCGAATTATGCATTCATGAACCCTAGGGCAATGCTATTGCTAGTTCGCTTACTCGTGATTTGAAGTCAGAATTACTCTAAGAAACTAGGCTTTTGGTTTTTGGTTCATCTAGTATACATATATGTATAAAGGTGGAGGCCCATGGTGATCGATGGAGAGATCAGAGACGAAGGTGAAGGTGGAGGTGGCGGAGGCGGCGGAGGAGGAGGAGGAGAGATCAGAGATGAAACTGCGGAAGGTGTGATTGAATATGTTGCTCAATTCGGAGATTACCGAAGAACGCAGAGGAAAGAATGCTACAACCTGGTGCGGCGTATGAAGCTCTTGCTGCCGCTTTTTCAGGAGACTCGGGAGTTCGATGGGCCAATTCCGGAGAGGGGTGCTGCTTGGTTGGCAAATTTGAAGAAGGTGCTTCTCATGGCAAAGAAATTGTTGAAAACTTGTAATGAGGGGAGCAAAATTTATCTGGTTAGGCTTTTTTCCTTTCAAAATTAATAGATGTTCAAATTCAGAACCGTGAATTATTAATTTATTTGTTGTTGCGGTAATTTAGGCACTTGAAAGCGAGGCAATCATGGTTAGATTTCATGCGGTTCATGAAAGACTCGGTCAGGCTTTAGAAGGTTTGCCAGATGAACTTTGCCTATCAGATGAAGTTGAGGAACAGGTATATACATATATGTCCCTTTTTTCCGTTTTCAAGCTAATGCTTCCCATGTGTTATTTCATTTTTTTTCACACAGACAGATCTTTTATCAATCTCGCTTTGCTGCACACGTTTGATATAAGTTTGTGTATCAAAAACTTGTTCCTGATTGTTCCGGGGTGGGGGGTGGCGTTAATTAGGAGATTGGTAATTTCTTAGACGAATTAATTAGCAATCCAATCCAGTCTAGTTTTGTTTCTGATATAAGTAACTTTTTTTTTGCTTTGTTTCAGGTGGAACTGATGATCATGCAACTTAGACGAGCGAGGAAGCGAACAGATACACAGGACATAGAGCTCGCAATGGATATTATGGTGGTTTTGTCCAAAAAAGAAGATAGAAATGCTGATAGTGCCATTATAGAGAGGCTCGCCCAAAAGCTAGACCTGCAAAAATCCGAGGACCTTAAGATAGAAACAATAGCTGTGAGGAATCTGGTTAAGGATAAAGAGAGAGGAGGGCCAAGTGCAGAGACCATGCAGCAAATCATTGATCTTCTTAACAAATTCAGACAAATTGCAGGAATGGAAGCGGCCAATGTCCTTGACAACCCTGTCATGCCTAAAATGCTCGAGAAGTGCCCGTCTTTGATGATCCCTCATGAGTTCCTCTGTCCAATCACGCTAGAACTAATGACGGATCCTGTTATTGTTGCAAGTGGACAGGTGAGTCGCTTACACGAAACATGCACCGGCTAGGTTTCCCTAGTATATATTTTTCTTCCTTCTACTCATGTCGTGTGTATCGGAGCATAAATCTTGTAGAGTAAAAGTAAACTTGGGCTCAGTTTACGTTTACAATTGTTATATTAACAGAACGGGAACTGATTCATCTTTATTTTTTCCCTCGGGTTTGGTTATTTCATTAAAGACGTATAACAGAGAAAGCATACAAAAGTGGCTCGACACCAATCATAGGACATGTCCCAAGACCAGGCAGACTCTGGCTCACTTGTCACTTGCACCAAATTATGCTCTAAAAAATCTAATCATGCAGTGGTGTGAGAAGACCAAATTCCAGCTCCCGAAAAAAGAAACTTCCACGGGCCAGGAAAGCTCCTCCACCGAACACAAAGAGGAGATCTCATCATTGGTTGACCAGCTGTCCTCAAGTCACTTAGAAGTGCAAAGGAATGCGGTCATGAAGATTCGTTTGATCTCTAAAGAGAACCCAGAGAACAGAATTTTGGTTGCCAAAAGTGGAGGAATCCCGCCACTGGTGCAACTTCTTTCCTACCCAGATTCTAAAGTTCAACAGCATGCAGTAACGGCTCTTTTGAACTTATCGATTGATGAAACAAACAAGAAATTGATAACCAGAGAAGAAGCCATTCCAGCTATTATAGAAGTTTTGCAGAATGGAAGCTCAGAAGCTAGAGAGAACTCTGCAGCAGCTTTATTTAGCTTGTCGATGATCGATGAGAACAAAGTAATTGTGGGGGAATCAAATGGCATTCCGCCATTAGTAGACTTGTTGCAGGACGGGACGATTAGAGGTAGAAAAGACGCTGCCACGGCACTGTTTAACTTATCTCTGAACCAAGCAAACAAGGGGAGGGCCATTAGTGCTGGCATTGTACCGCCACTGATCCAGCTACTGAAGGACAGAAACTTGGGCATGGTCGATGAAGCGCTCTCCATCTTCTTACTTCTTGCATCACATCCAGATGGACGACAAGAGATTGGACAGCTCTCATTCATTGAAAATCTGGTGGAATTTATCCGGGAAGGAACACCAAAGAACAAGGAATGTGCAACGTCAGTTCTTCTCGAGTTGGGGTCAAGCAATTCCTCTTTCTTACTTGCCGCACTGCAGTTTGGAGTGTATGAGCATTTGGTAGAGATCACAAGGAGTGGAACCAACAGAGCTCAAAGGAAGGCAAATGCACTTCTGCAACTCATAAGCAAGAGTGAACAAATTCCTTGAACAAGTAATAATTAATCTGTGTAGAATAACATTAATATTTTCTCAATTTTGTTGCTTTTATTTGATTTGATTTGATTCTATCCTTCTAGGGTGAATGAAATCACATGTGTATGTATAACAACGTCCACAAAAATGCTACGACTCAATATACAACTTTCAATTACTTCCTTTCACCCTATTTTGGCTTATAACAATCGAGAACAGTCTGACGAAGGAACTCCTGCTCAAGATCTACTCTCGCTCAAGACCAATCCCTAACCAAACCCCTCCCTCGCTCTACGCCAAAATCCTAGACCTTAAACCATCTTTGCCTCACAAAACCACCCATGGCCATCGTTCTCTCTCTAGTATTACCCTTAGTTATGGAAGGAAGAGTTATGTAAAAGTGAATTAATCCTCAAGAGGTGTTAGAATAATGTTTCAAAGGTGCAGAGTTTTTGTGAAAACGCAAACTTGAAAGGGTATTAGTATAATTTAACCTAGAAAAATATTAACATACGAAACCTGGACCAGTTAGCTTGCCCGGCCCACACACATCACCCGGTCTCATTTGTGTCCCTCCCCACTCTCAGACCACACCCGAGACTCACGCAAGAACCTCTCCATATGATAGGTTCTCGTCCAAATTTCAATCACTTGCTTTTTCATTTCCCATATTTTTGGCTTATTGGCTATCTCCTTTAGTTAGAGAATGTTCCATTCCATTCGATTACAAAGAAGACTCAACTACCACTCCAGCTTCATTTCGCCTTTCCATTCCCTTACACCCCAAGCTAAAAGTGCGGTAAACAAAGAATCATTTGGTAAATAATTGGTTGAGTTTGTGACAGCGTCAGTTTTTTCGACAGTCGACACTAAACAAAGAACCGTAGAATTCTGTCTTCAGCATATCAAACGCCCATTAGAATTCTTTTCCCTGAGCATTAAAACCTTTCCACACTTTTACAAGAATAAGCCCAGGCATCTACAGAACAAATTTCTAATGTAAAAAACAAAATTTACCATGAGAGATGAAATCACCGTTACATAAACCCAGAAAGCACAACAGTTAAACATCGTTTCCTCAAACATAGAGTTAACTGCAATCGTTGATACTATGAGAGACCATTAATTGTACATCTAGATTGCCTCGCCCAATGAGAGACTAATTTACCAAAACTGCATAAGTGCAAGCACACTATCTATAGGGCAAGGGCATGATTTACTCAAGTAGCTAACAACATGGGAGGGCCTGGAAAACACATTCTCTCTGGTAAACAAAGGACCTCCGATCATTTGTCAGAATGTCATGACTTCAGCTGTGATTCCATTATTAAGGTCATATTAACGCCCTCCAAATTTGGCCAAAACTGTAATTGGAACACCTTGTAATATCAAAATGACAACAAAAACACAAAATAAACGGAATAAGAATGAAACATACCATCAAGACTTTATCAATCATCCAGGTAATAGTAGGACCCAGCAGCTTTTTGTTCCCTATCCTTCGTTGACTCCAATTTGTTGATTCTTGGGCGATAGTTAGTTGGGTCACGTCTAAATGTGATATCAAGATGCTGCATGATTTAAACAAACAAACAAACAAACAAAATAAATGGAAGTTACTTGTGCACAGCGAGGGAGAGAGAGCGAGAGCAATTCCAATGAGATTAATTGCAACATTTACCGATAAGAATAGATTCATCCCAGTCAACAATGACTGGGGACAATTTGCAGTACAATCAATTGACGGCTTCCCCTCATAGACTATAACTCTATCCGCCAAGTAGGTAGCCATAATAAAATCATGTTCAACCACGAAAGCAGTTTTCTTAGCATGAAGGATGAACCTCTTTATGACTTTAGAAGCAACAATACGCTGCTCAGAATCAAGATATGCACTTGGTTCATCTATCAGATAAATGTCTGCTGGCTGCATTGAGTAAATAGAAGCGGACATTAGAATGTATTCATCAAAACTGATCCGCATGCACTTCAACTAGTTAGAACAACGCAACTGTAAGGCAGAACCTTACCAGAATCAAACAATAAAAAAAACACAAAAGTGAATCTAATCACTATATTTACATTGTTTACTTTACAGGCAGAGCACAGCAAGATTGCCACGAGAAAGCAACTTTACATATTGGTAGATATATGAATTGCATACTGAGAACTGACACATTCTTATTCCTCAATTATTTGGATTCACACCTAGCATGTTTCCTATCTCACAAGAAAAACTTATAACTCCTAGGGATCACAATATAGTTTCTCCCCCCCCAATGCCACAAAGGCATGGAACCGGACTGCTGACAGCAGGTCTTGTAACCATACATCCGCAATATGACCAAGGAGCGGGTGGGATTGTCTGTGTTTCAAAAAGCAACACCTTGGATCCATTTCCAACTTCCACCCACTCAGAACCAGCCAAATAGAAAGACTACAACAAAGTGTTCAAATGAATTCATCCCGAGATTCAAAGTGTCCTACACAAAGTAACAAATAAATTTACCTTCCCGAGGCATAGGCATAATGCAACCCTCTGCAACTCTCCGCCAGAGAGATTCACGACTTCTTGATCCATTAATTGTTCAATTAGAAGAGGCTTCATCACATCCGACATGAATTGTGGATGAGTATATGAATCACGAATTTTTGAATGTAACAAGTGTCTGACAGTGGATTGAAACTTTGGACTGATTTTCTGGGGCTTGTAAGAAACATTGAATTCAGGTATCTCCACATCTGAATTTTCTACAATATCAGGTTTCAATAGACCCGCCTGAAAATCGGATGAATATATGTTAACTCAACATCTGAAACAGAAAAGCTATTGTTAATGAAGAAAAAGAAAATGGTAAAAGAAACTAAAAATACCAGCATACGGATAAATGTAGTCTTCCCCGTTCCGTTCTCACCCAGCATCACAATAATTTGAGAATCCGTAAATTCACCCTCAACCACACGAAGCCTGAAATTTCCCTGAGTTTTACTCATTGATGGGTATCTATATCGTGCATATGTCTCAATTTCCTCAGCACTTTCCTGTGGTGTCTCAGCAACCTAATACAGGCAACAAAGTAAATCAAAAAGTACTGATAAGTCAGAAGACCAATTCATGGACAAAATTTATAATCTTGCCTTAAATGTCAGAGATTCATCTCGGAACCTAAGATTTTCCGTAGGAACAAATCCGGCCAAGAAGATGTTGATTCCTTCTCTAACTGAGAATGGAAGAGTCACAACTCCATATGCACCTGGTTTCCCATATAAACAGCAAATGAAGTCTGACAAGTAATCCAAGACACTAAGATCATGCTCCACAACAATTACATAGCTGAAAACACAAGGGAATATACCCATCAGCTAAACATGAAAGAAGACAATCAAGAAAAAGAATCCAACAAATACATGCAGTGAAAATTTGAGAGAAGAGAAATATACGAAAAAAAGACCTATTAGGCCTAAGTAAAGATCGGATAACTTGGGCAGCTTTAAGCCTCTGTTTCACATCAAGATAACTTGAAGGTTCGTCAAACATATATATCTCTGCATTCTGTATGGCGACAACAGCAATGGCAAATCTTTGAAGCTCCCCACCTGATAAATCCCCTACACTACGTTCTATAACCTGGTTCAGCTCAAGGTCAGCACACAGTTCTTCCTTCATATCCCTCTCATCTTTCTGGTTGAGCACCTCCCCAACATTTCCTTGAACTGCTTTTGGAATGTGATCAACATACTGGGGCTTTATAATGGCCTGTTAATGAAAAGAAAATTACAATTATGCAATCAGCACGAAGCAAAAAATTTATTACATAAAACAAAGCTTGGATAACAAGCACTAGGTCCGAAAACTAACCCAACTGAAAAAAAAAACCTTGGAAATACACTTATAAAGGTTTTTTTTTTTTTTGTTTGAAACTAGTGTCTCCGGATCTTTGACCCGACTAATCACCAGGCCCCCTGCCTGACCCCACAACATTTCGGAAGCAAGAAACTCTAGCAATTGCTAGGTGGGTACTTTGAGAGGTGTCGAACCCCAGACCTCTTGGTAGCAAACCAAGGGCCTGACCATTAGACTAAAGACTCTTAGGTCACTTATAAAGGTTATGAGCATAAAAGGTACCTTCAAATTGTCTTCCAGAATACGGGTAAAATAATTCTGCAGCTCAGATCCCCGGAAGTAGGTCAAGATTTCCTGCCAATCTGGAGGATTCTGAAAAAACAAAACAACTTGAAGATAAGTTAATCAAAGAATACAGCAAAAAGAGTTTGAATAATATTTTATACTTATCACAGAAAGGGAATTTTGTAAGGAGTATTACCTTGAAACGGCCTAAATTTGGTTTCAACTTTCCAGCCAAAACTTTGAGGGCAGTCGACTTCCCAATGCCATTAGTTCCAACCAAACCTAGAACTTGACCTGGCCTTGGGACTGGTAACCTGAAATTTTGAATTTCTGTTAGCCACATAAATGCTAGCATGATCAATGATCACTTCCCAATAATGTGGTAAGGAGCTAACCTGTGTAGTTTGAAAGTGTTAGGACCATAACGATGGGTCGTATCTTTGTCTAAATCCTTCGGTAAGTTGATGATTTGAATTGCTTCAAATGGGCATTTCTGCATCATGAGATGGAACAGAGTCCAAAGAATGTCTTTAGAACCAACTAATGCAGGGAACAAAAAAAGAACAGTAACCACAATGTTTACAGACCTTAACACAGATACCACACCCAATGCACAATTCTTCCGAGATAAAAGCAATCTTGGCTGCAGGGGTAACCTCAATACATAGTTTTCCTGTAGATTGATTAGTTAGGTGAAGGCGGTGTATATTTGTAGCACCCTAGGACAACAGTATATTAAAAAAATCGAGTTCAAGCCAAGAAAATCAGCTTTGTACAGAGAAGTAAACCTAGCCTAATGCATTACAGGAATTCTGCCAATACTGAAATATTAAATAATTATTTGGAGCCTCCACACTATATACGGGAGCTCATGCCTTTATTTTTAGCAGCCATTAGTAGAATCTTCCCTTGCTTTTATATACCATGTAATTAGAGCTTGGTAAAGTTTATGGGTAAATCTACTTGCAAGAGGCAATCCATTTCCTTAATTTCCTTTTAATTATCAAATAATTGAACACAAACAATAAGTTTCATGAGAAATAACAGTTCACGCGCTAAACTTTCAGCTACTGAATCTAAGTAATCAAGAATTGTGCATCACAATACCCTCACGAAACATATAGCAAGCTCATCATTCAAGAAACAAGAAAATATTTGCACGTTTTGTGAAAACAAAAGAAACCATTATCTTGAGTGATTCGATCAATCCTGATATGCTATTTCCTTCACTAATAGAAACAACGAAAATATTAAAATTAAGAAGGGATACTATAATATACCAGTCTTGACAACAGGACAGCTCTTCTTGCATTCCTGGCGGCACTTCTTTGGCTTGCATCTGTCGGAGCTCACGATTGCAATACGGGTCAACCGGTCTGCCATCTCCTCTCCTAATCTTATTCTATCCACAATAAATCAACAAAATCATATTATGCCACACACAAACAGAGAGAGAGAGAGAGAGAGAGAGAGAGAGAGAGAGAGAGGATAGAGACATATGGCCACCTTCTTTGTCTATATTTGGTAAAACATGCTCTGCGCATGATCAAACAAAGGCTGGATTGGATTGCATAAAAAAAATATTTACAGAAGAAAGAGATTTGAAAGGCAAGTACTTGGGTATGAAATTGAAATATATCTGTAAACATTTGATGTAGGTGGAGGACTTGGTCGATTTCATTAAAAGGCTTCAAGAGAAGAGTCATTAGCTAAAACTGTATCCAAATCGCCCAACACACCAGCTAATTACTTTGTCAAATTTCAATTAGTACTAACAATCAGAGAAAAATAATATGCTTACTGATTTTCAAATAATAATCAAACAATTCTCGCTTAATCTATGTTATCCGGCACCCAGATATACAGGAAGAAAATACACTAAATACTTACGAAGAAAACGAAGCAGATGACGGCGGTGGCGACGGAAGGCAGACTGACTGCTAAGTATAGGGAGGGGCGGGGAGGTGGTGTTGCGTGTGGCGTGTGGCGTGTGGCGTCCCAGGGGAGAGGAGAGCTGTCTCTTTGTCCTCTCTGTGTGATAAATGTTAGGGTTTTCAAAAACCGAAAGAGACTGACGGGGTTGTCTGGGCAGAAGCTGCGCGTTACGGTATTATTGGTTAATTTATAAATACTAGATTAAAATAAGATTTTTGGACATATTTTGAGTATCATTTGTCTCTAAATGAATAAGCTTTTGAATTTCTTATCATTTAGTTGAAGATGTGGCTATTTGAAAAAATATTGAAAATTTTAAATTTAGATTATTGCATGAGGTAAGGGAGTGGTGTTTATGAAAAGGATCTGAGCCTGCAAAAAAAAAAGATTTGAGAAATGATGTAGAAATAGTTAATTATAGGGAAAAAAAATTAGAAGTTTTAAATTTCGGCCTACAAAAAAATAAAAAAAGAACCCCTTGAACAGGCTATTTGGCTGGCTAAGAATGGCCAGTGCTATGGCTAAGGGCTGAAACTTGGCCTAGTAGGCTCCCCATTTTTTCGGCCCAACCCTCCATTAGAGTTGGATTTTGAAGCATTTCGGGCTAGATTTTGGCCTATAACACTATAACCATCTCCATTCAAAATGACCTTATAAATTGCTTCCTTAAACATATGTGAGACCCAACATTTGATAATATTATGTCAGTATTCAATAAATTTAATTGTATATTTTCATTATGCTCACATGGGAAGTGAAACGAATTTTGAGTTTTAAAAGTGACAAATTTTAAGTTACAGAGAATAAATTAAAATTAAATCAAGTTACAAATACTTAGTGAAAAAGAAACCTAAAAGTAAAACGTTGGTGATTATTATATGGATATAGACGCTTCATATATGTTTTTTTTTTATTAGCAAATTTATTTTTATTTTTTAAAACAAAACCCTTTTGCAAGGAAAGGATGATAAAGATGTTATTACAACAATTTACCAACTAGTACAGTGGTTTGGTATAAGTTTGAAATTCGACATATGAAAATGAAGTACATTTCAATCGAGTGCTCAACAAATTCAATCCTTTATACAAACAGATTTAATTCAATTTCGATCATCTTTGCATAATTTGGGTAACTTGGATTGCATTTAAAAAAAAAAATCGACATGATTGAATCCAATGACTGATTTGCTTGTGACAATTCAATCTAGTTGATTTTATCCATTTTTTCTTACAAGTTGGCGATTAATTGGGAACTAAACATGGGCGGCTGACTACCATGTAAAGTAGATGGCGTTTGGATTGAGAAGGGTGAACTCGAAAAACTCTTGACTATTTTCATGGAACTGGAATTGCCGACGGGGAAATGTCCAGTACATTATAGAACCAAATTAATCATTCATTTTTAAGGCTTTAAAATTTGATGATAATTGCTTCATGATTAAATATATAAGTAACAATGCCCATGATTTAGTAAAAATGATAATTGCATACAGAGGAAAGAGGAAATATCTGCCTATCAGATAAGACAGAAGTCTAAAGGAATTGGATTCCCTCCCTCCCATTATCATTTCATCATAATGATTCTTGCTCTGGTGGTGTATGTCCGTGTGTACGGAATGGAATCACACCCCAAAAGAAAAGAAAAGCAAAGCAAATTTAACTGCAATTCCAAATAGACAGCAACATCAACCACACCGTATCTCTATCTCTATCTGTATATAATAATAATAAAATAATAATACAACAACAGTATACCTAATGTAAATTAAGCTCTCCTTTTTTTCATTTTTTTTTTTTGGATACAAGAGAATTAAGACAACCCACCATGGATTACGAGGTGCGGCTGGCTTCCCACTCAGCCAAGTGACTCCGGTCTTGGGGTGGGTGGGGCCAAATGCAAGGGTCCTGCTCTTTTTTCCGTGTGCGCCAGCCGCATGAGTGACGTGTGCCTGACCCGTGAATTTCACTCCCACCTAGATGGACCTGTGGTATTCTGTTCAGACAAACCTCAAAGCATCCTCTAGCTCCTTCTCATCAACACAATTATATCCCATCATATAAGCTCTTGCTGCATCAAAAATGGAAAATTAAGCTTGCACATAATTAACATTACACTTCTCTAAAACCAAAACAAAAAGGCAACTTAATTACCAAAGCGCCCAGATCCCATGAATGGTTCTGCCTCGTCTGTCACAGCTCCTTGCTGCTGCTCCTGAATTAAAGGAAATGACCAAGCATTAGCAACTATACAAACCAACTGAGACAAATTGTTCTCTAGAAGGCTAACAACTAACCAAATCACCTAGTGCATTTAAAAATTTTACAAGAAATGAGAAAACGGAATTGAGACACTTAGTTGATGTTTGAGGGGTTAAGTAGCACATTTTCAGAATACAGTGGCAAAGTGAGACTAAAAGTGAGTTTCAAGGGGCATATCAACTTATCAATAATTAAGCCCGACACAAATAAATTTCGACTATTTATATCAACCAGAAGATATTTCATGGGGAAGAATGAGAGGCAACTTGATGACATTTTGTTGTATAATGACAACAAATTGCAAGGCAGGGGAGATGTTCACTCACAGCATCTGACTCCGTTTCTTCTGGTGATAGGAGCCTATCGAAACAGTGCCCAGATATTGTGCAGACCCAAAGCTCATTGGTCGGATCCATAACAACTTCTCTGCAATTATCATCACATACTGCAGAAGGAAACATGAAAAATAATTGGATGAGACTTAAGTCCTGCACAAATTCACACACGAACACACAAAGTACACGAAATTCATTGATACCTACCATGAACCTGGCCAGTGTTCTCACAGACAAATACATCTCCAATTTGGTAGTAAGTGCACTTTTCACCTGAACAAGCATGATCAGCTTCCGCCTTATCAGTTAGGCCTCTACTACTTTTCCATATAGACACTTGATCAGCTACTGTTGTGTCAAGAATTATCCCGTCATCATTCACCTTCACAAGCAAATATGAAAGTTAAACCGATGAAGGTATAAATGTGTGTGTGTACATACATACATACATACATACATACATACATAAGTAGAGGGAGAGGGAGAGAGAGAGTCCCACATGTTACAACTAAATGTAAAGGTTAATAGAAGGTTGAGTTTGACATACTCAGCACTAGAAAACTATTGAGAAAATAATACAAAAGATCTTGTAGTTATCCCAAGAGAAAAGCAAAACGCAGAATTTTTTAAGACCCAATGTCTCATATAGTAAGTCTCCCATGAAGGATCTCAAGTTAACACAAGAGAAAACAATTATGCATAAGGTTTCAAGAAGCATAGCGGTCAAGGCACCACACAGGTCAAGGCATAAGAGCAGGCTCTTATTATAATCTCACACAAAATGACACCACACAGGTTAAGGCAAAGGTAGCACCAGTTACCTGTGAAGGAAGAGGTGCTTGGCTTCTTTTGGCAGCTTGCATTTGAATAAAATATTCCTTGAACTCAAGTGTGCAATTCCTAACAAGTTCCACCGTATCCTCCTCATCACGCTGAGAAAGAGAAAGAATTTGTTTAGGCTAATATCACTTAATCTAGGTTGCTGCTGCAAAGCAGCTTCAGGTTTCATGTAAGCGCATACAATATGAAAAATTCAGTTTTTCAAGTCCAAATTACAAATTAAGTACTTTTTGTGAATGCCCATGATGACTGCAGCAGCAACTACTACAAATTAAAATAGAAAATAAAAAGCCACTATCACTAAGGTCTGGTGGTATTCCTCTAGACGTGTAAGTGGGAGGTATCATGTTCCACTCACAGGGATGGCTAGTTTGAGACCTAATTATTATGGCTGACTAAAATAATAGTAAATAAAAAATAGATAGAAGTACCTGAATATAAAGTTTTTTCCATGGACATTCACGCAGCTTTCTACTAGGGGGTAAATGACCCCATCGCATACAATACCTGCACATAGCCGCACAAACACATTACTCGCAAGAGGATGAAGTAAATTCAGTGCATTTATCATCGTTAAAGAATCAACAAATCCATACTAGGGAGGGAATTTGTTAAATAGGAGTTACATAAAGCTCTCAAAATTGCGAACAGGTGTTGCCAATAGATCAGACATTTATTGCATTCCGGTAAATTAATTGATTTGGGAAGATAACATAGGAAAATAAAAAAGCTTTGGCGTCAGAAAGACTGAAAATTGCACAACTAGTCATACAAAGACTTGTAAGAGTTACTTACAGGCGGCGCCATAAGGATTCATCGGAAGCGACATGACTTAGAAATCTACAGACGAGAGAGCAAGCAAATAGATCTTCAGAAGAGAGGAACTTGAGGATGTGAGGGAAGAGTTCAGGAGGGATTTTGCTGAAAATGCCAGTTTCAATCCTCACGGGCGAGTTCCCGCTATTGCTACTGCAGCCGATGGCGCTTTTTGACTGAACAAACCCGGAAGAAGATGCGCTTTTCTGAAATTGAGGGTCTTTCTCAGCCGTATCGTCCACTAGTCGCATTTTCTTTGCTTTGGGCACCTCTGTTACCTCATCATCCTCCTCCTCCTCCTCCTACCATGCAATCAAAAGCCCAACAACAATATCAGTCACTTATTCGTTCATGCCAGTGTACTTACTATATGATATGATTATAGAACAAATTACCCCCCTTCCCAAAAAAAAAAACCTAATTCCCGCAAAATTGAAAGTAAGCCTCATCACGCAGAGATCAAATTTTGAAATGAATGAAAGCTTTGTCATATTAATAAAACTGTTTAAAGACAGAAATGGATCAAACCGAATCGGAGGAAAGACAGAAGAATAAGACAAACCTTGTCTTCTGAAACCTCGGAGAGCACCTCCGATTCAAGGAAATGAGCCAAACTCTCGTCCTCATCCTCTGATATAGTCATGTTGCCGGCGGAAGGAGACCAGGGTAGGGGGCAATTTCAACGGACAATTTCTGGCGGAAGCAGAAAAATCGGCTTTGAAAGATTGAAAGCTTGCAGATTATCAAACGTTTTTTGGTTGCTGGTTGTGGCTGAGATAAGGTGTGCGGTTCGGGATGATCCTCGATGCTATACTATTGCTAATTTGCTAGTGTCCCATGGAGGAGAAGGTTAGAGGTGGGATGCGAGGGAAGAAGGAAGCACGGAGCAGAAGGGATAGGTTTTTTTCTCTTTCACC